TTTGCAAGAAAAATATTACACGCGGAGATATGTGAATGAAGAGCATTCCAGCACAAGTAAACAAGCAGGTATGAATAATATCATCCACATTGCATATAAATCAGAAGATTGCACCCAGGATTTCTTATTTGGAAATTGCATTTGAGCACTGAATGTTTGTGTAAAGATCATGCAATGCCTCATATAAAAAGGAAATACCAGAACGTGTCGGAATTTAACTGCGACAGAATCACGGCCTATCCAGACAATGGCTTATCATTCCATTGTATAGCTGTTGTAGTTCAGAATACCATGACTGTCAGGTAAATATGAAATCAATGCACCCAGAAGGGCTGTGCTGAACAACAAGCAGAATCTCAGCGGCTCCTGACCACAAATGCTTGAGAGAATAGACATGTTTATTCTCTTAGTTTTGTAGGATCCTACAGCCAGATTACATAACTTGACTTGTGTGCAGGCCAAGTTCCTGTAATCTGGCCACAAAAACAGTACAATAAGGTCTGCAGCACCACAGATTGTCAGCACAATGACCATTCTTGCTGCTTCCCCTGATATTGTAGCAGAGATAGGTGCACTTACAGTGGCACTACAAATGGTGGCACTATGTCATCTTTTCAGTCAAATCCCGGTTCTGCAGCATACAGCATCATGTGAGTGTATCTGTGTATGCAGGCAACAGGAATCAAATGTTGCCAGCTTGCATTTATCATCATCATAGGGCTGAGCACCTGATGTGCTGGTAAGTACTGCGATTAGATACACATCCTGGTTACCTTTTGTTCGCATAGTCGGTAATGTGAACAGCCACAGTTTTATTTCTGATGTGTAAAGCCCATAGCCGTGCATTATTTTTGAGGTCTGCATGACATCATCATTCAAGAAGATAATGCCTGTATGTTACCCATTCTATCCTAACCTTCCTCGATACAAAGTATGCTCAACTGTTGTCTTGGCTAGCCCATTCTCCAGATTTCTTACTCACTGCAAATACTATCTGATCAAGGTTTGCTGAGAGGTTAGTGGGGACATAGCTAGAGGGGGGGCAAGGGGGGCACCAGTCCTTTGGCGCAGTATCCAGGGAAAGCCAAACTGGTGTTACTAAATTTTAGAATTAACTATTTTCTATTCCTAGCAAACAGGAGGGGGCACGAAATCTTCAACTGTCCCCGGGCACTGAAAACCTTAGCTACAACTCTGGAGGCTAGTATACCATGACTTACCAGCAATTATAACTGATAAACTCTGGCATAAAGCCACATGGAATTAAGTACCACACTTATCATTCAAGATCAGTTTGAACTTGACACCCAGCCGTATTACAGCCAGTAGTGTTGAGAGGTTTATGTTGCAGTCAGAGGTGGCAGCTTTGTGTACTGAATTCTGCATGTTGCATACTTCAAAACATCTACAAATTGAATCATGTCTTCCTCTCATACATCAATATACAAATTCCTGCTTTTTTTTTTTTTTTTTTTTTTTTTCATCATGTAACAAATTTTAACGGCTAGCAGCGCACTCTTAACTATTTAGTGAAAAAGGTAAGAATTAAGATCCTTAGTGAAATTTAAATAGCTAAAATGCGCAAGAAGTGAACAAAAAACTAAAGGAATACAGTTCTCTTTGCTTTGCAGTTGATTTAATGCATGTCTGACAACTGGATTTCTAGGTCAAAAAATGATACATTATATATTTTTTTTCTTTTGAGATACATTAAAGTTGATGCAAACATAAGGTATTCATTCATAAGCCTACATAACCGATCAGTTGCACTGTTACTAGAATGATAAATGTTACAAAGAAATATGATGCAGAATTGTGGCAAGAATTTGACTAAGCTTATCAAAATCATGGGTCTTGGGTTTTGAAGTGTGCTGAGATGCTTACCTGAACAACCTCTCTGTCTAAAAAAAAAAAGCGGGAGTGAAGAAAGTAAAAGCAAAATTCAGGTCTTTATACTCATAGGATATTCCTTTACTGCTTTTAGATTAAAATGGCACAGATCATCTTGATGCTGTTGGTGTACTTATTAGAAAGGTCACATCGAAACATGTTTAAACAAAATGTGGATAGTTTTCTCCAAGGATAAATTAATGCATTCAGTGGCTAAAGTCAATCACTGATGGGTCCCTATTACTCTTTATTTTATTCCTTATTTTATTTTTATTGATTTACTTATTTATTTTTGTCTCATTAATTTTTTTTGTATCTTACATTTGATGATTAACTGCTCAAAATTTTTAGTACCACTACATATACATGTACATAGGAATACTCAAAAATTACAAAGCAAGCATATTTTTTCACTAGCTGGAATTCATTTTCCTTAGTTATTCACACAGACAGAAAAATAACTGTACCTCTTATTTTAAAAATCCTTAACTGCCTTTTGTTACATCATTCTTCCAAGCTTGACATCAAAAAGAGGATGAAGTGAACACAAAACGATATTCATCGAAGCACAAATTAAGCAAAGCAGAATTTTCAAGAAAAAGATAGGTATTCAACAAACTTACAGCCATGAAAATTTAAAACATTCAGATTCAGAATATTAAGCTTTTAACACAATCTGTAAATTAAATAACTATTTTCTTTCTAATATTTAAATTCATTCTTTAAAATATTCTTCTCTAAATGAGCAGCAACAGACATCTTTCAAAAGTTTTACTGTTAGACATAGTTAAGCAAGAAATCTTTCTTTTTACTTTTTAAATTTTAATATCACTTATATGTACTCTTATATGCTCCTAATCTTACAATGCTAGTAATGCATCATACGATTTTCTATACAAAATGAAAATATACAATTTTTTATATAATCTCTTTCACAAAAATAAAATGAAATTTGCAATTTGTAAACCTCACAACATAATAATATAATAAACCAGAGTATGATTTCATACACCCAGAACTGCATTTGTCTTAGAATACTTGTTCTTTCTAGATTAAACAAAATTTAACTTGACATTAACATACACTGGTTATCATAAATTAAAGAAAAATCACAAAAATAGCGATAATTCCCTCAAAAAAAGCCAAACTGTGTAAAATTTGAATATGTTGCCAAGTAAGAGTAGCTGAGTAAACTGCAATATGCAAATTAGTGGCGCTGCACTCGGAATTCGTCATCTGCGAGGAGCATAAAAGCCCATGTTTGAGAGCAAGCCCACATATTTCACTGTGATAGTGACATCAGCATCTGAGATAGCCAATTCGTAACAATGATCTCCAGGCATCATTTGCCTGCAGAACTACGACAGAAAGCCATTGGGAGACTGGAGGCAGGACAAAGTCAAACAGAATTGGCCAGATGGCTAAATGCGAGTCCATCTCTGGTTCATAGACTTTGGAGGCAATTTCAAATCACAGATTCGGCACCTAAGAGGTTCAGCCAAGGACGGCCAACTGCTACGACGAGCGCCGATGACCGATATTTGACATTATGTGCACTCAGGAATAAAACCGCTACTCCGACTCTTCTTAGATTCTCCCTTACTGCAGCCACCGGAAGGTTGGTGTCAATGTCAACTATGAGTAAGAGGCTTCACGAAGGTGGTCTGTATGCAAGACCAACAACCATTTGCGTGCTGCTGAAGTCACGCCATAGGGAGGGACCGTTTGCAGTGGGCACGACAACATGTCCACCGGATACCTGAGCAATGGAGGGCTATTCTCTTTATGGATGAGTCCAGGTTTAGTCTAGAACGTGATAGTAGGCATTATTTGATATGTAGAGAACCTGGAACCCGTTATCATCCGTGAAAGAGATACATAGGGAGAGGCAGTGTATGTGTCTGGGGTGGCATCTCTTTGGGCGGACACACAGACCTCCATGTTTTTCCAAGGGGAACCGTGAATGCTCATGTTTATAGAGATGTCATCCTTGATGCTTATGTGCACCCATATGCCGAGGTAATAGGTGATTCTTTCCTGTTACAGGAAGACAATGTGAGACCACACAGGGCTCGCTTCGTATATGATTATCTTCAACAGGAAACAATTATGTGCATGGAGTGGCCAGCTTGATCCCCGGACTTGAATTCTATCGAACATGTTTGGGATGCTTTAGGGAGACATTTAGCTGCTCTCAATCCGCCCTCTTAGACAACTTGAAGCGCTTGTAACTGCTTTGCAAGAACAATGGCTCTCGCTTCCTATGGAACTAATAGACCGCATAATTGAAAGCATCACACATCACTGAATGTGCTGTATTGCTTCTAGAGGCGATTATATTCCATATTGAAGGTACTTTTACTATAGCAAACTGACATCTTCGATTTGTTCATTTTATACAAGTGTTAATTTCTATACTACCATAATTGTCTGGTAATTTCTCTTTATGTTATTTGATACCTTAATATGTATTGTATATTGTAGGTAAGTTTCATAAAATTCTACATGTAGCTTTTTCAGTAATCATGATTTTTGTGATTTTTCCTTAATTTATGATAACCAGTGTATTAAAACTTCTCTAAATACAATAGAAATTACAATTAGAAGGGCATAAATAAGTAAATGCAATGAATTTTTCATTGATTTAATGAATATAAAAATCATAACAGTGATTAGAACACACAGTTTAAGAAGCTATTAAATGCTTTAAATGAATTTTGATGGACATCAATGTTTAGCAAATATATACTAGAAACATAAACAGGAGAGTAATTTGTACCACTTTAAAAGCACATTAAATCAATTTCCTTGTCGTGCAATAATTATTTGCTTTGTATATGCAACATAACTCTTTTTGCATATGCTGCCTGTAATTACTTATTTTCTTTCTTCACTCAAATTCTTTGCTTAATTTTTTCAAGAAATACATATTTTTATATTGTTTTTGAAATAAAATATAAAAATATATAAAATATTTTCACTTGCATTCTAATAAATACGGATTTGGTTTGCAGAAAGCAAAACAAATTAACCAGGTTTTTCAAATAGCTGAGGTCACAGTTAAACTCAATATTTAAATTTCTACTACACAAAACGATAAAACTTATTACCTTGGTTCAATAGGAAGAGGTACTCTTAACAACCCTGGTCCCAAACCAATATGCAACATTTGTGCAACATCAGCAGAATATGGGCCCGCAGCAATTACCAGGTAAGCAAATTCAACACAGTGCACCTCACCAACTTCATCTTTTATCTAAATGGAATGGAAGAAAAGTAATCCTCTGACATTCATTAATCTTTTAATTTAATACTGCAGTAAAAATAAATAAATAAATAAATAAAATTGTCTTATACTCACATACATATAATTAGTTCGAATAGTAGGATCTAAAGTTTCATCAATCACTGTGCGTCTATCTTCAAATTCAAATCCTATCACTTCTCCATGCACGTAATCGGTGCCTAGTGAAATTGCTTTCTTTTTGAATGCAGAGAGTAAAGCCCATGGATCAAACCAACCTTCATTCTCTAAACCTTAGACGAAGAGAAATAAAGTATTTACACTTCTGTTTTATAGATCATAAAAATGGGATAATTTTGCATTATTTCTATGGGTTTTTTTTTTTTTTTTTTTTTTTTTTTTATGTTGGCAACCAAATTCGTAAAAATACGTATTTCCTCAAGTGAAAAGAAATTTCTAATCAAATAAAGAAAGCTTCAGAAATATTACCCCCCCCAAAAAAAATAATAATAATAAACACTAGTTAGTAAAATGGTACCTTTAAGAAAATGGAAGTTCATAATCAATTTTCAAATGGTATTCATCATAGATATCAATTAGTTTTTAACCTCTTAACTGCAGCTTCTTCATTGCATATCTCCCCCTTTTTGATTTTATTTTACACAAATCTTTTGGCATACTCTTTCTATTCGCACGTACTGTGCCAACGATATTTGTTTTATACTTGAACGATAGTATCAAAAATAATTTTGGCAAAGAGTACTATAATCTGTATATAAAGTGTGACCTCTGTGCAATACTGGTGATAGCTTTTTGACAACACTTTCAGAAGCTCTATAAAGTGTTTCTCCCGCCTTCTTAGCAAGCCTTCGTGGTGTATCAGTTCTGCACGCTGGGATGGTATTTCAGAGGTCCGTGGTTCGATTCCCGGCAAATTTGTTGTTAATTTTTCATCTCTTCAGCTTCCAAAAAATCCTAATGTCTCTACAGAGGCACACGAACTAAAAGGGTGTTGGATGATGATTCTCCTCACTCAAGATTTGGCGATTGGGTCCCCTAAAAACCGCAGTCGCCCTTTAAAAGGGGGAGTATATAAGGTATTTCTTCCGCCTTTTTAGCGAGCCTTCGTGGTGTAGTAGTCAGCACACTCAGGACACATCGTGTTCGCCAAACAGATTAGAAGGAACAGTACAGTAGTCCTGATAGCTCTATCATCATAATTTATTTTATCATGGCCTGTATATATTTTAAAGTCATAGCAATAAACTGAATCTGACTCACATAATTTGTAAAATGTAATACCGAATCTTGCTCTTACTGATGGATTGAATTGTTTACAAGATAGGCATCCCTTAAATTTCATGCGCGATTCATCGATAGCAATGTCCTTTTGTACTGCATATACTTAAAATTTTTTATTTAAAAAGTTGGTCACAGGTTTTATTTTGATCAGTTTATCTTTATTGGAAACCAGATTATTATTGGCGAAATAGAAATATCTTGTAACTTGCAGATATCTCTTTAGCGGCATTGCTTTTCTAAATATGGACGTTTCTATAACAGCCCCCTTCGACCAATTCATTTGAATTCTTCGTTTTTTTCCAGCTCAGCCGTTATTATGGATACACACGTTATCTTTCACAATCAGAATCACAATCTTTATTTTTTATGCATATCAAATCATTCTTTTGCAGACAAGATATTTCTTAATGATATTTGAATACAATAAGTTATAATAATATAATTTTGAAGGTACGACGTCATCTTAGTCAAATAAGCAGCAGCGTGAAAAACTAGCTTTTTGCCATCAGGAAGCGTAAGCAAAAATGAGCGCTGCAACATAGAGGAAGAAGGGAGGGAGGCACTAGTTTCAGTTCAAGTTAGAGAAAGTTTAGGTTTACAATTAATTTGATTGAACAAGAGGTTTCTGCATTAAAACGTTACATAACATAGAAAGATCTTAAATCTGGGAGAACAGATGAATTTAGGAGGACAACACCAAATCTAGAATGTTAATTTTGAGGTTGCCAATTTTTTTTTTAAAAAAACAGCTATTGTATTTTGTCATATTTTACATATTCCTTCCTTCAAAAGAAAGGTAGAGCAGGGTGGCAGAACAAAAGCATTAGAGTAGCAAAATATGAGAGATAAAATTTTGAAAATACAAAACATAAATTTCGAACAATTTAAAAAAATTATAAGTCGTAAAATTTTGACTGAATATGACATTTCACTGAAAGTTGTAGAATTTTGAATTCAGTAATAATTTTAACCAGGATATTCTTTTAAAACATTTGCATATTTTTAGAGCACTGAAGTTGTTAGAATGCCGAATGAAAATTTTGTAAATTTCTTGCTAAAAATAGTTCCACAAAGTAAATGCTCAATTTTTTTCACAAAGTAAATGTTCAAATAAAAGTCATTCAAATTTTTCTCAATGAAAATATTTCCATTATAATACAGATTAAGCAGATAACTCTCATGTAGAAATATTACAACACAGAATTTATGATTACTTGAGTAATTTCTTCCCACTGTAGATATACATACTTAATACAACAGAAAATTCAATATTAAAAACATAATAATATAATGCAATAGTAAATAACACCAGAATACTTTGAAAATTAATTTCGCATGTCCTCTTCAACAAAATCAGCATACCATCTTGCTGATGGTTAGAGGATGCTTAAGTACAACAAACCAAAAAACCTCCGTTTTTAGAAAACCAGTTACCTTAGAAAAGGTAACTGGTTTTTGGCATTGTACAATTGTCAAAGCCTTTCTGTTTTCTTTCAAATATCTTTCATATTACTTAATAATAATTCAAAATTATACAAAATTCAGACTGAAATTTAAAACAAATAACTTGTATAATCAAGTTAAAGTCTTTTTAATTTTTGCAAAAATGTAATTAAATATTGTCCTAGACTAAGAAGAAAGAAAAAGGAAAAAGTTTCTTTTAAAATATGTGTGTATGTGCTGTAGCTCTTCTGTGCCAAACCATGGTCAGAGAATAGTACTGGTAAAGAATATAGAAATGCCCAAACCAGTCTTATGGTCATAGTTGACTCTCCTAACAAATAACAATTTTTTTTAAATTTAGGGGGTGTTAGGAGTGTTTCTAGGGGGACAGCAGGCATGTGCTATCACTTCTTGTACCCTCCCTAAAGAGAGGATAAAATGAGTAATACATAGCGTGAAAAACTAGCATCTTGCCAGCAGGAAAGCATAAGCGAAAGAGAACACTGCAAGACAGAGGAAGACGGAAGAGACTTAATATTTTCAGTTTGAGATAGAGAAAGCTTTGATTTACAATGAATTTGATTGGAGAAGAGGTATCTGCATTAAAACATTACATAACATAGAACGATCTCGAATCCGGGAGAACAGATGAATTTAGGGGAAAAGCACGAAATCTAGAATGTTAATTTTGAGATCGCGAATATTTTTCTAAAAAATGGTTATCGTATTTTGTCATATTTTACATGTATGAATCTCGCATAACTCAAAAACGAGTAGCCTCAGAACATTGAAATTTTGTATATAGGACTGCTATAGCATGTATTGGGCACCTCTTTTTTTTTTTTCTTTTTTTTTTTTTTTTTTAAATCAGCCACATCAAAAGTATATATATATACACCCACTCTGCTACTCGGCTCAGCTCAGATTTTTATTCTTATATGTTGGTAAATTGTGCATTTTTTGCTTTAAAAATGATTTTTTTAAAACATACAGACCCCCCCCGTGCACCACATATGTATAACTCGGGACTTACAGAAGTAAGTTAACTAAAACATTAAAAGTTACATACATAAATAAAACAAACAAAACCAAAGAACAGCAGTCTGAACTTCACGAAAACAGATAAGTTCACTGGCTAAGTCACTACGAATATTTTCAAATCGCTCTGCAAGCATAATCTAGAGCCATCAAATGTAGAGCATGAGAAAATCAAATGTAGAGCATGAGAAAATCAAATGTTCCACATCCCGAGGTACTCTTTTTGAACATTCACATAAATTGTTTGATCTTAGATTAAAAAGAAACAAGTAACTTGCAAATTTAGCGTGACCAGATAGAAATTGAAAAACTTTAAAATTTATAGAGAGGAAAGACTCAGAATGCAGTCTATGGCAAATAGAAGGAAAGAACTTTTTACCTGAGCATTACAAGATGAAATATATTACTCATTCTACTTAGCTGAAAGCTTCTTATAATGAAAGGAGTTCCAATAGCTCTTTGGAATGCTAATGTTGATATCAATGGGTAAATTTAAGGCATCTTTAGTTAAGAAATCAGCTCTTTCATTTCCATAACAACCGTGATGAACACGCACATAAACAAAGCAGATACCAATTCCTCTATTTCTAAGCGAACTGACAGTTAATAGGGTTTTGATAACTAATTTGTCATAGCTGGTTATACTGTTCAAAAGTTGAAGAGAATCAGAACAAATAAGGTACCTTGAGGAAGTTGTGCTATTATCCTTGATCCATTTAACGGCAAGATAAATGCACAGAAGTTCTGCTTGAAAAACTGTGCATTCATTCCGTATACAGTGTCTAAAATAAAAAAACCTCGGAATGCCTTCAAAAAGACCAATGCAAGGCCACCCTTGTTATCCAACTTGCTGTCATCTGTAAAGAAAACCATATGAAAACTGATTTCAGTAGTCTCTTATACTCGCAGAAACTTATGGTCTCTAAAGTAATGGGATGAGGAAGATCAGTGAAGGGGATAATTCCATTTATGCAGTCTTCCAAAGTATCAGTTGCCAATGACTCGAAAATATTATTCTTATAAGCAATTTCAAAAGCAATAGGCAGAACTCCTGCAAGAACAAAAGTAGCCTCATAGCTTAAGGTTCTATAACCACTAATAATACGAGGAAGAATTCTCCGTTGAATCTTTCCCAAATTTCTTTTGTTAACCTTCTTTGCAAGAACATGTCCCCAAGCACGAGAGCCGTATGAAATGAAAGGTACAATACACTGCTCATACATGAGTTTCTTAACATCGTAGCTTACTCCAAAAGTATATTTGGCAATTCGGTGGAAGCCATTAATAATTTTTTCAAATTTAGCAGAAAGGAATTTAATGTGCTTTTTCCATGTTAATTTTTGGTCAAGAATGACACCAAGATACTTAACATTTTCTACGAATTCCAACGGATCATCAAGTATCAAAGGAGCAATATTTTGCTCATCAAACTTTCTGGGAACAATCATAGCTTTACTTTTTGAGGAATTGAAAGTGAGTTTGTAGAGACATTAGGTATTTTTTTAAAAGC